TGTATCTCGGGATGAGAACGGAGTCAAATTCATGGATAGTTCGGCTCAAGATTGTTTGGGCTGAAAGGCGAGGCCCATGAAGATCAGAATCAATTCAAATTCAAATGTTTGAGCATTAAATTCAAAGATTGAAACGGGCACATTTAAGAGAAAATAATTGTATTTAATTAGGAGTTAAATGTCATTGGTTAGTATAAAATATAAGGGCCAAGGGTCATGTAAGAGGAGAATTTTTTTTCGAGCAAATATACTATAGCCATTTCCATACCAATTCACAATTTCTTTACATTGATTTTTGTCCTGAAGAATAGTCTTTCTCACTAAATAAATAAATACTTAAGTGTGTGAATCCGACATCCACACCCACAACATTTACATGTGCAGGTCGAGGTACTAGATCCTACACTTCATTTTTGGAAAACTGATTTAGTTCTTCTGTATATGCACCATACCAAAATTCATCTTCAAGAGCTCCAGCAATATTCTTGGGTTCAACTAAAGACACAAAACACGAGTGCTGCAGTATTTCTTGGAAGTTAAGATGAACACCTCTGGTCGTTCTTTCATTCAGATTTCCTATCACATCAGCAGCTGAATGATTCTTATAAACAACTAGTTTCTTTGGTGTAGAAGGTGCAACAGGTGACTGTGTCTCAGATGATACTTCTCTGTCATTGAATTTTTTTCAACAGCCGTTTCAGGTGCGTCTGCTACAGGCAAGTGCTTCTGCAGACTCGTCAACTACAGGTTCTTCTATGAACTTGTCTAGCACAGGAGGTAACAAAAATCTTTTTTTGTCATCAAAGACCACACTAACAGCATCACCAATGACCTTGATTCTCTTGTTGTACACTCTGTATGCTGAGCTGTTTGTAGAGTATCCCAAGAAAATTCCCTCATCACTTCTAGAGTCAAATTTTCCAAAGTGCTCATTGTCATTAAGAATATAACACACACATCCAAATACACGAAAATTGCTCAGATTCTAACTTTTTCCCTTCCATATCTCGTATGAAGTAGTCTCTGTGCCAGGTTTTACATAAACCCTGTTAAAAATGTAGCATGCTGTGCTAAATGATTCTACCCAGAAACTTTGAGAGATGTTATTACCATGTATCATAGCACGAGCCATTTCCTGTAGTTTTCTATTTTTCCGTTCAACAACTCCATTCTGATGAGGTGTTCTGGGTGCTGAATACTTATGTCTGATTCCTTGAGTTTAACAAAACTGTTCAAAGATCTCATTCTGAAATTCTCCTCTATGATCACTTCTTACCTGAATGATCCTTCCCTTTTCATTCTGATGTTGTAGGGCAAGAATCTTAAAGCTTTCCACTGCTTCAGACTTCTCTCTTAGGAACCGAACTAATGTGTACCTTGAAAAATCATCTACCAACACAAAGATGTACTTCTTCCCATTGATACTTTCTCCTTGTACTGGACCCATGAGATCCATATGAATCAGCTCAAGTACCTTTTTAGTTTCAATTTCAGGTACCTTCTTATGATTGACCTTGATCTGCTTTCCCTTGTTACATGCACTGCATACAGACTCCAGTTTGTCAGCTAGTTTTGGTACACCTCGAACCACTCCAGCGTTCACAATCTTAACCAGACTTTGGACGTTCATATGTCCAAGTCTCTTGTGCCACAGCTCTAGGTCAGATACAGATGAAGATAAACAAACATCTGAAGGCTTTCACATGTAGCAGTTATTTCCAGAGTGTATTCCATATAATATAGTATTTCCATTCTCATCAACAGCTTGACAGTCAGTTTTTGTGAAGATTACCTTCAGTCCATCATCACATAGTTAACTTATGCTGATCAAACTAGGCTTTAACCCATCAACATAATACACATTTACTAATGGTGGTTGGTCATCACATTCAATATTTCCTTTACCTTTGATATGTCCTTTACCACCACCTCCAAATGTTACTTTTCCACTAGCCTCTTCAGTGTAGGTTGACAGTACCCTCGAGTTAACAGTCATATGTCTTGAACAGCCAATGTCAAAGTACCAGGGATTGCTAAAAGTTCCATCTGTAGATGTGTAACCCACCTTTGCTATGATACTCTCATCTTCATCAGACTTGTCAAGTTGTACAATTATCACGTTACAGGTCAGATTAATTTCCTCAGACTTGTCAAGTTGTACAATTATCGAGTTGTACTTCTCTTCATCATGCTCTTGATTTTTGTTGTACAGATCTCTCTTGGCAACCCAGACTTTGCAGAACTTAGAAGGTTCAATAAAGCATTTCCGTGCCTACCACAGTTGCTTGATCTTATCTTTGAACTTGTAACAGAAGCTTCTAGTATGACCTAATTTTCCACAGTGAAAGCAATCAAACACTCTTCGACCTCTCTTGGACCTGGTCGACATCTTTCTGGGTTCAGATTTTCTGTGTTGTACAACCGCATTCTACGGTGCTTCTTGATTCGTCTTTCCAGGTTGCTATTTCTACTCAACTGTTTTCACTTTTTGAGCTTCTTCTTCATGGTAGGTTATACTCTTTACAAAGTAGACACGTCCAGGGATGCTTTAGGGGCATATGACTGATACCCCAAACCTTTGTGGCTTTATCCAACTATTTCCATGGACAGAATCTGGTCAAGATTTTTACCACTACTGTTCAGCATTCAGATCTTCTTGTGGTTCTCACTCAGTACTCTTTCCAGCATAAGAGATTTTTCTTTCTCTTTCTCATAACTTTCATGTAAGAGATTCATCTTTTTCTTAAAAATTTGCTTCTTAGGTAGCTTTTCACCAACTTTCTCTTATTTGGCTTCTTTTTTCAACATTTTCACTTTTGCCACAAGCATCAGGTTTTCCTTAGTGAGCTGCAGCTTGTCATTGCTCAGCAGTACCCAGCTGTCATACAGAGTGCAGTAGTTGTCGCTTGTGATCAGCTCTCCATCATCATCTGAATCAGAGTCCTCACTGCCTGATTTATCGTCATCCTTAGCGCTGAATGCAACAAAATTCAGCATAACTTCTGTTGCATCATCACTATCTGATTCAGAATCACTAAAACTCAGTAAAGATTTCTCTTTGCCTTTGTTTGCACTTGGACATTCAGATTTTAGGTGTCCAACACCATTACACTCACATCACTTCATGTCCTTACGTTTTGCTACAGGACATTCAAGTCTGGTATGTCCTATACCTCCACACTCATGACATTTCAGATCACGCCTTCTTCCTGATGTGTCATTCGCATCAGACCTGTTGCCTGACTTTTCTACATCAGACCTGTTGCATGACTTTCCTGCATCACTCCTGTTCCAATGGTTGGATTCCCTGTTTTTGCCTCTTTCTACATGTTTCAGAGCTTTTCCAAAGTTTCTGGCCATGAGAGACATGTTTTCTCTGATTTCTTCCAGCGGATCTGGGCCCTTTTCTTCATCAGCTTTGAACGCTATTACTTTGTTCTGATTTCGTTGATCTTCAGCAACTTCCATTTCTCCAAACTTCAGAATCCCAACCAAGTCTTCATATTTAAGAGTATATGTGTTACCTGATACCCTCATGACAGCCTTGTGTGCATCATACTTCTGTGGTAGACAACGAAGCAGTTTCTTCACCAATTTCTTCTCTTTACAAGTTTTTCCCAACGTCTTCGCTTCATTAGGAATACCACTCAGTTTGGAGCTGAACTGAATAATCGTTTCTACAGGATCCATCTTCAGATTTTCAAAATCTGTAGCCAATTGATCCAGCCTGGTGCATTTTACACTAGTGTTTTTTTCATATGATTTCTGTAGAATATCCCACATCTGTTTAGCAGACTTACTTCCTTGAACCAGATTGAATTCATTATCAACAAGGCATGAGTAGATAGTATTCATGGCCCTTGCATTAAATTTAGACAGATTCTTTTCTGCATCAGTCTAGTTTGCTTTTGGTTTCTTCACCCCCAGACCTGCCTCAGTTGTGCTAAACGGAGCTTCCTAGCCATCTTATACAGCAGTCCAGGCGTCTTCACCCTATCCTCTGATTAGCTACATCATCTTTGTTTTCCAGTAGCCGTAGCCTCTGTGATCCAGCATCACAAGTCTGGAGTAGAGCAAATTCTGACTTCGACACCTGTAAACTGCAGGATCTTAACCTGTATTGAGTCAGCACTCAGGTCGGTCACCTGTTCTGATACCAAATGTTATTATGTACATGTCGATGGGATTGAAAAGAACCTCTTTTCTTTATTAGGAATCACTTAAACAATCTAATAAATCTGTTTAATCAGATTTACACGACGTTGACACAACTCGTCACTGACTAATTCCTAATCTATCCAATCTTAGAAACACAGCAATAGCTATGCTGGACATTCTGATCACTCACCAAGAACCCTAACATCGTCTAGCCTAGAACTTGTGATTCACAGAGATGATAAAGACTATCAACCTAAGCCTAACGCTTAGACTGCCAATATATAGGTAGCCACACAAACGCAGCTAACCTAATTTCTTATTCTAAAATATCATCAAAAAAAATTTCCTTGATTTGCTTATATCTTGAATAACTTGATTCTCACGTTCTGGAAACTTCCATGACCAATCATAGCTCGCTACGTCATCTTCATTTAACGCTCGCAGCTTCTCGCATACAGCTCTCTCCTATGCTCCACAGGATGATATCGTCTTGTAGCCAGACATCCATATCTCTTTATTAGCGTTTTACGCTCGTTAGAAAGATAGAGCTATCATTTCGTCCGGATACATTATAAATAATTCCGTTCTAACTTTCGTTATTGCCAAACAAAAATTTATTCGTCTTTTTTCATCTACTTCCGTTAGTACAAATCTACTTTAGTATACAGAGATGTCAGATGTGTGTGAAGATTAGTATACAGATGTTTGTGAAGATATATCGACAAATAGCTTAACATTGTCATAAAATCATTACAACATGTCCATAAATAAATTATGGGTTACAAAAATACAAATTTACAAACATCGATCTATAATGTGAAAAATCAAAAATTTGTTCAATCTTAATAATATTGATGGTTTATTGGAATTGAGAGACCATTATTTAAAAACAAGGAATATGTTTAACTATAAATAATTTACCGTACAAACAAATAATACTTTTCTATCATGAGCTGTTTTATTAGTGATACATGCGGAATTTAATAAAATTTTACTTTTTAAGTACGTGGGTGATGAGACCAGAAAAATGTATATTTGTGAGATAATCCCCCCAATTAATGCCTTTTGGGTCGAAATTAAACATCATTTTTTCTGTATTTTTGCTCTCCTCTTCCTTCTGGTTTGCGCATAAACTCTTTGTATTTCTATCGTCGAATCTACGAGAAAAATACATATATTAGTATTATGTGAATAAGAAGTATTATATTTATAATTTTTATTAAATATTAGATTTATAATTTTTAATAGATTTCACAACAGAAAATTTGAAGTTAATACTTACATTCCCTTGAAAAGTACATACGGCTCATAAAGCTCTACCAATCTCATCACCACCTCAATTTTGCGGTTCTTGTCTCCATATTTGTCTCCGTTTCTCCAAGGATATATTATATCAATCAATTTTAACAACTGGTTAAGGAAAAAGAAAGAATTAACAATACATATCAAAACACTAACAAAAGAAAAAAAATCTATGAGAAAATATCTAGTGTTTGTTCTAAAATATCAAAACACTATTATAAAAAATATCTATGAAAAAACATTTAGTAACTGATTGAACAAAAATGATGAATTAATAACAATAAATATAAAAAAAAACTATGGCCACAAAAAAGGATATTATGAGATTCTTTTTAGCTTTTTTTTGTTCGATAGTATAAATTTGACCATAACAGATTACGAATGGTACAAATGGTATAATATTTTTAAAATAAGATACATACATACATGAAATATTTAAAAAACAATTAGCTTAAGTATACTGTATTTTTAAAACATATATGGAATCACAAGATTAAATAGATAGTATATTCTACAAAAGAAACTTGTAATATTAGTCATATATAAAGTAATATTAGATACGTTTTGCTTAAGTTTCTACTTAAGCTACTAGAAGGAAAAAAAAGGTCAATTCGTATTGTCCAAATTTAATACAAAGTTCATTTTAGTACCTGGAGAGGTAGTTTGTAACGTAAGGTCATGTAGAGACTGAACAAAGCCATGGTTGATATGAACCTCAGTTTCGAGACGGTTATGAGCGAGCCATTGCGACTGCGCAAAGGGTTTTTTATGAAGTAACGAGCCGCAATCTCATGAATCTCTCCAAATGTCACTGGGTTCTGATGAGAGGAGCCGACATGATACACCATGTGAACCCCTGAACCTCCAGCGTGTTTGGCTGCAGCCGTGATCATTGCGTTTGCTACCATATCCACTGGTATCTGTCAAAATGACTGTCGTTTAGCATGTGTACTTCGAGTTGGAGTATATAAATTAACACTAATTCTTCAATTTTTATAGAAAAATATATAAGAAATTAGGCATATAAATTTTAGGGAGACTCACAAAAATGCCCCTTTTTTAATACCCCTTTTCAAAAATGCCCCTTTTGGATGTCCATTTTTAAAAATACCCCTTTTATGTACAAAATGACTAAATTACCCTTCTTTTAATAAAAGATATCATAAATATATAAGGAAAATATAACAAAATTAGGTCCACAAAATACAAAATATTTTTTGGCGGGAAAAGTGATCCCCCAATTTTTCCCGCCAAAACACTCGTAAAAATTTGTAAAACCTTTAAAATACCTTGTAAATTTTTCCCGCCAAAAATTTTCCCGCCATAAAAATTCGCAAAAAAAATTGCGGAATCACTTTTCCCGCAGAAGAATATTTATGGCGGGAAAATTTTTTGGCGGGAAAAATTTTACGGAAAAATTTTACAAGGTTTTTACAGGTGTTACAAGTGTTTTGGCGGAAAAATTGCGGGATCACTTTTCCCGCCAAAAAATATTTTGTATTTTGTGGACATAATTTTGTTTCAAATAAGGGTAAAATGGTCATTACAAATTAAAAGAGGGCAAACTTAAAAATGGACTCTCAAAGGGGGCATTTTTGAAAAGGGGTATTGAAAAAGGGGCATTTTTAACAATTTCTCTAAATTTTATAAATTCTTAGAGGAACATGTTTAATAATTTACCATATCGCAGACCGAGTTTACATCGACAAGAAAACACTTGAGCACTCCCTTTCCGTATGCAATAATCACGCTGTCGACAGTTCTACATACAAATATCATTAATTTGAATAATTGTAGTTAGTAAAAATCAAAAACAAAAACTAAATAGACTGGTTAGAGATCTTGAGTTATTCAATCACTTTATAGATTTATGGTATGGACTAATCCATAATAAACTTACTTTAAGCCTTCGATCCAACCAGGAAAAGGTTCCGAAAGAGTGCTAGTGATCATCGTGGGACGGATGATAACGAGGGGAAGATTTTCTTTGTGGTTACCAAGAAGCATTTCTCCCATTGATTTGGTGAAAACATATGTGTTTGGCCATCCATGACGCTTTGCCCTAATCATTAACATAACACCAAATTTTATTTCATTCCATATATTCTGATGAGTAACATATAGGGATATTTCAATCATTAAGAATACTCACCTTTCCATTCCGAGTTCTTTCATGGAGAGAGTAATGTCTTCTTCGGAACAATCTTGTTCATTAAGTTCTTTCAGTCTTTGCTTCATAAGCTCCCTTTCAAGATTTATATCCAATTGAAGACCATTATCGTTACGAATATCTTCCATGATGAATGGTTTTTCAGGTATGAGACCTGGCTTTTCTCCGCAAACATAAGCTAGAGAAAATAAAATAAGTGAGACTAAAGCTTTCAAGAACCACATGAAGAGTGAAAGAATTTGAATATGCAAACAATTTTTGACGAATAATTAATTAGAAAAAGACTCACCAGTTGAGACATGGAGAAGCAGTTCAACTTTAACACATTTTTTGGCAAAGTTAAGGACGTTGAGAGCTCCAAATGTGTTGATCCCAAGCCCAACATCATATCTTTTTTTTTCATATGAATATATTAAATTTATATTTTTGTAGAGATAGAATTAAAAAATACATAATATGGTATATGAAATGTCCCGTAGCTAGTACCTTTCGTCAAAGTTTGTTGTGGCAGCAACATTGACAACAATATCTATTTCTTTTCGCATACGTTCTTTAAGATCAGAGTCATTAATGCCTAACTGATCAGTCGCTATATCACCTGGGACCGAAACAACTTTTTCGTACAACAATGTATTTAATTTCTCATCGCCAAGATTCTCTCTCAACACCTTAAAAAGATCTTTCTCAAATACCTGTTATATTTAACGCAATAAATCAGATCATGGATGAACATTAGTCTCAACTCACTCTAATATTATAATTATGAAACATATATTCTGAAAAGTATTAGGTGGTAAATTAGGTTTAGTTGGTATATATATAAACCTCCATGTGTAACCGTTTAGTCGCAGCTTCATTGTCAGATGCTCTCACCAAAAGGTACAGCTTCTTCACATTTGGTTGTACTCTCAGAATTTTCTCCACAAAAACTAATCAATGAAAATAAAAAATTATAATCCGATAGTTGTGTTGAATGAGGTACTTTTTTTTTTTTTTGTAAAAGAGGATGAATGAGGATACTATGTCAATATCATCTTGAAATCACTCTAAACAAATCTTGAGGAATTAACAAAAATCAGACAGAAAATTATAAGACATACCCTTGGCAAGGAAACCAGTAGCGCCGGTGACAAGAATCGTCTTGTTTTGAAGAAACTGAACACAATTGAGTTCCATTGTCTTGACGACTTTGGTCTAAAACAGAAGAACTTATCAGTAAAGGCAAATATACCCATTGTAGTAGAAGAGTATTTATAGTAGCAAAGGACGTTGTATGAAAGTCTATTATACCCTTCAATAATCCTAATAGAATAAGCAAAACCAATATCTGTCCAATGTCTTTTAACCTTATACATGATCAGAAATTCAGAATATAATATATTAAGAAGAAATTTTAGCGAGAAGTCTTTTATTTAATTAGTTAGTAGTTCAAAACTATTCAAAATCAAAAAACAACTTTAATCAAAGATATTGAATAAGTTCGTTATTCCGAGATTTTTGTATTTTCTAGAATTAAATTCATACATAGTAAATTTATATAGTTAAACAAAAAATTAATCCATACATTATAAATTTATAGATCGGCCGGCTAACTGTGAAGGAGCTTCCAAAGAAAGGTTCTTGATAGTCGCCGCCTGACGACAGTTTTTGACTCGGTACAAATTTGTTTTCTGCATGCAAGATTTTCGGTAATTTGTTTGAAAAGAACACAATCTATTTGTTTGGCTACAAGTCTTTTAAGTTTTAAACATAGACGAATCACCGACTATCACTTGCGTCATATAATGTATTAAACTTACCTTACACAATGAGAGTTGCCGACGAAAAAAAAAAAACTTACCTTACATGATATTTATTCATTAACTCTTTTGGATGTTATTATTATTCCAAAAAAAAAAAAAATACTATTTTGGCTGTTTCAAATGAGACAATTAAAAAAAAAAAAAACACTAAAAAGGTAAGAGGTCCAGTATGGCAATTTCTGAATTGATTTAGAAAATGATCTACGTTAGCATTTTATTTACCACTACACATACAGACAAGTACATATAAAATATATGGACGAATATAGGCCAACAAATAGTTAACATTCTTAACAGCTTGGGGATGTGTTTCTGTTTATTCATTTAAATTTTGAAAAAATTATAAATATAATTCCATTTTCTTAATGTAGGTAGATCTACAAATTAATAGTAGATAATATGGGTCAACAATATATAGGTCAATATGTTACGACAACAGTACAAGAACAAAAAAACTTATGTCCAATAGAAGTTTACACTTTACATATAGAATTAGAATTTATGATTGATAAAAATTTGTGCATAATACATGTGTATGTTGTTGACTAATAGACTTTTGCTCCTTCGCATGTTGTGTAAGTTTCAAAGGAGCCCATGTAGCTCTCCAACGTAATCAAAGATTGGCCGTTTGATTTATCAAATTGTTACGGCAGTGTTATGTGACTTTTATCCCAATTTGAAACATTTACGCGGCTTGTAAACATCCTACTGCCATACCAATAAATGCTCCATTTTTATTAAAATTTAATTTCCTTCATCTATATTTCACAAAAAATGTCATTTTGACACATTTTACACAAAGTAAAAAACTTTTAATTATATATGTATATCTCTATTTAATAAATAATTGATAATTTAAATTCAATGAAAATTAGCTTGGGTTAAGAGTAAATCATGAAACTTATTGTAAAAATCACATTAAAAATATAGAATGATAATTTTTGTGAAACAAAATTAAAACTCTAGAATGATACTCTTTGTAAGACAGATGGAGTAATTTTTGATGTACATTTAGCAAAAACTCTTGGTCTTTGACATATTTACAAAGAATATCATTAATGAGTCGGGTCAAAATTAAAATCGAGTAACAAAATTTCCGAAAATCTTTAATAGATATTCATACCAACAATTAACATTTAATCTTGCTTTCCATAACTAAATCCGTTCTTGGTACGATTTTTATAGTTAAGGAAATTAAATATGATGACTTAATGCTAATATAACAAATTTGAACTAATTTCCTAAAAGCTCTCTACCTAATTTAATCATAAATCTATGATTTTCCTTTCACTTTTATTTGATCTAGTATTTAAATTATTTTGAATTATTATAAAATATATAGTTAATAAAATATAAGATTTTTTGCATATGATACGATTCAAATTTTAAAAACGGACATATATTGCTCAATCGATGAACAAAAAACTATGTGTTCAATGTCACACATCGCCTGAAAAAATTGGACAATAGTTCAGAGTCATACTATAAAAAATCTCAAAATGATTACGAATATGAATGAACAGAAAGCTTGTTTTATCAAATATCCAAAATTAAAAGTGTTATCTGGTTTACCCTGGTTCTTTAGTTAAAAAATTCAAAAATTATAAATATTTATACTTTATATGTATTTTAAACATTATAAATATTTAAAATTATAAAATGTTTACAGTATTTATAATATTTAAATTCTAAAGAAAATTATAATATTAATAATATTTGAACTCTATAAAAATTAAAATATATATATATATATATATTATGGAAACTATTTAAAAGCAAACTTTTAAATTGACTCGAGTTATATATCTTTTAAATAAAAGTATTATTAAAAGAAAATGCCAAAATAATATTAATTACACGGGACGGGGTTATATGGTTGGATAGGTTTGGGTCGATATTAATACGGAATTGTATACTATGGGTAAAATCTTAGAATTAACAATCAAAATACAATTATAAATTTTTTATTTTAAACACTAAACAAATTAAACAATATTAAAAAAGAAATAGTACAACTTAAATTTTAAATTTTTAGTTAAAAAAAAAAAACGATCCACGATATACCAGGGGTAAATTATAGTTTTGTATTAAAGTGAATACGAATTATAAATAAAGTCCAATGATTTTTTGGATATGAGCCAGAAAAACATGGGTGTTATACCGGATGTCCCGATCGGACCAGTCCCCACTCTAAATTTGGGATCACTATAACGACAATTTAAAAAGCATGAAAATAACGACCATTCAGAGCCATAAGTCAAAAAACACACCAAAAATAAAAGCCTCACCGCTATTATTTTGGCTAGAGTCCAAGCAGAATTGATATGATTCGTTTTGGTGTTTTCTATCACATGTTTAACTTTTGTCGTATCGAATTTTTTTTTTTTTTTTTTTTGTGTTTTTTGGCCGTGTCTGAAGTTTTGTACATGTTTTAAATGCTTGTGGCGAGATTAGATAGTTTCGGACAGGGATGACACCTATGAAATTTGGTTAGTTTTTGGCTAGATTTTTTTAAATTAATACCCATAAAAAGATAAATTGACCCCTAGCTATGACTAAATTTTTTTACATTTTAACCCCCGTAAATACAAGTTCTAGTTCCGCCACTGATTTCGGACTTGTTTGGGTCAAAAATAGGCGAAAAATTGATCTCGCAGCCAGAGTCGGTTAGACTATTCAGTCCCCACCTAAATCGTTCAGACCTCTCCTAGACCATTGGTGCGAAGTTGATTAGGTGGGCATAGTGAGTTAGACAGATCGGTCGAAAGTGAAAAGTTGGGACATAGTCCATTGAATCGATCGGTCCTCTCCTAGACCGACCGATCGGAAGGCGACGGAGGAGCAGATTTGGTCGACACTAGGTGAGTGTCGATCGACACCAGTACCAAAATGAGGAAGTGTCGACGTTTGACGGAGCAGAATCGACTGAGATTGACAGAGCAGGATCGACACCAGACAGTAGTGTCGATCGACACTGGCCACAGACTGCACCAATTATCCTTGAGTTTCCACCTGTTGCTGACCAAGTCTACACACCTAAAGTTCATTGTTCAATGCCTCAACGATCTAAGCAGGAGATTCAAGAGGAGCGCCGCAAGGATATCATGGATAAGATTCTACCTGAGTTGCCTCCGGTTGATATAGAAAAGTTGTCACCACCGCTTCAACGTGCTATTGTACTATATGAAGCTCCACAGATCCAGAAGGAGAAGCAGAAGACAGTGGTGAGTAGACCACCCACACCTAAGCCCCGCCTTGCAGACATTCCTCACTTCCGAGGTAGATCTCATGCACCAACTGCTTATACACCTTCATGGATGATGAGAGGTTTTTCTCCGCGGTATTTACTGCCACCGTCTGATCCACCTGATATCTGAACCCTGACATAGTCAAGCTAATGACTGAAAATAAGCGCTTAGTGCATGGGAGGCAACCCACTGGTATGTTTTTCGTTTTTCTTTTATTTTCTTTTTATTTTTTCTTTTATTATTTTTTGCCAACTTCGGGTTTGAATGGCACTGGGGACAGTGTCGTTTAAGTCTGGAGGAGGCAGTTACTAACTACGTTTTTCTTTTTGAGTCTTATTTTCTTTTCTTTTGAGTCGTTTTATTGAGTCAAAATTTTTGCTGGAAATTATGATCTTTTTCTTTAGATTATTGCCTGGTTAGTTTAATGCTGCAGATTCAAATCAATCCGACTAATGGAAAATCCAGAGAATTAATCAATAGACCAGAGGACATCCATGTTTCCAACACAATCCGCTAAAGCCTTAGCAAAGTTCATGCTCTTCACCTCGTTAATATGGTTAGTATTCTCAGAACTTGACTCCTCGTTCATACCTGATAAATGAGACCTAAGTGCGGAAAAAGTTGGTACTCCTCTCCCTTATTCTTTAAAAAAAAAAAAGGATTGAGATGATTTTCTTTTGGAGTAAAAAGATAGGAAAATTTCCCGTGATCTCAGTATTTTACTTCAAGAGGAATGATCACACGAAGGTTGGAAGCGAGGTTAGGAACATTTTCGATGATACCATTATTCGCCTAAACATTTGTCTTAAAAAATAAAAAATAATAAAATAAAGAAATAAATAAATGTTTGAAAAAGAATAAATCTGGGGGAGAGAAAGAGTACCTAAGTGTGTAAATGGTTGATTTATCATGGTATAGTACGGGAATAAGTCTAGAAAGTTCTTAAGTACTGATTTTATTGATGAGATTTATGCGATGAGGGCTATAGGATACAATTGTGGAATTTTATTTGGAATTTGGAATGTTGAGAATGTTTGCGGAGAATTACATGGTGGTTAGGATTTGATGCGATCTGCTAGGCATATGGATTTGGTTTGAATGATCAAGATAATAGGCTAGAGAAATTAGGAGTTTCTATGTTTTCAAACTTCTTCCACGGGTTCGGTTTTTGTGTTTTGCTTGAGGGCAAACAAAAGCTAAGTCTAGGAGAGTTGATATATCATGGATTTTACCGATTTTAGCTATGATATATGTGTCTGTTTTAGAGTCTTTTTGTTATTTCTAGAGTCTTTTTGAGTCTTTTCAGGGTTTTACACATTCGGGACCAATTTGGAGATTATGGATCTAAGAATTCGCATCGAGAGGTGGAATTACTGATATTAGATTAGTTAGTTAGTGCATCGAGAGG